AAATGGCTATATTAAGGAGCAAAACACTCTCATTTTTTGTAAACTGCTTCTCCACCTCTGTGGTGTAGGCAGCATAGGATACAATCAGTGGAGAAGGTCAGCGTGCCAGAAGCCATTGTAGCACAGCTGACAGCCCCAGCCAGTCCCCAGGAGCTCACCTGTGCTGGGAAAGGCTCAGAGGTCACCTCCATGCTGGGCTGTGGGGCACTGGCCAGGGGTGGGACCCTGGCACCCAGCAGTGCTGGCTGCTGCCACAGCCTGGGGTTCAGAGGTCTCAGCCCAGGGGAGGAGGTTGCCATTTATAGTGGGGATGACTGGAAACAGCCAGAAACAGGAGCACTCCGCAACTTGGTTTAGCATTCAACAAGGTTTTAAGAGTTTATTATGATGTTTCTTTTCTGTAGCTCAACAGGGCCAAAACAGAGCCCAGCCCTGCAGTTGCAGATAAGAAAATGACAGGATCCCCAGAGGAACAGCTGTATAGCATCCTAAAACCTCTGCCTCTAAATATACCATTTGGAATTGTCCCCACTAAACATAATACATGCCAAGTAATTTAATCCAGTTTGGTGTTTGCAGACAGATAGTGCATATCTTTCAAATAATTCTACATTCTTTTCTTGAAATCCTGGATTTCATGTGAATTTTAGCCTGGGGATTAGGGAGGCTCCTCTCAGATGTAATGGATGAGTGCAGCATCTATGTAACTAGGTCATGGTGTACTTAGGCATATTTAGTTATCTGTTCTTGTGTTCTTCCCTACTTTAGTGGCACAATAAACAAAAGAGGGAATGAAGTTGGATTTGTTATCTCCTCTCCAAGGATGGCAGAAGACATTTCATAGTGGAGTTTTTTTGTTACATTTTCTAACAATGTTTGTGATTTTTCTTTTTCATTTTGCATTTTGTAAGCGATGAAGTGCAGGAATTAAATGCTTCCCTTCTTTTCATCAGACCACGATAAACAGGAAAATGCAAAGGATTCAAGATGATGATCCAGAAAGAGCAAGAAATTGCATTTCTTTCCTTTCCCCACAGAGTGTCCCCATTTCACTGTTCGTTGCTCAACAGGCGACCACCTCTGAATAGGCAGAAGTCCATTTTGCAGAGAAGCCTACAAAGGTTATTAAGCATGTATTTGTCCCTTTCTAAAAGGTACTGTATTGCAGTCAACAAGGCAAACTGAGAGTTCCCTTTTACTTATCACAGAGGTTCTGTCTTGGTGACTTGAAAATCAAATGAGGTTTTTTAATAAGTATACACACACTGGATTGCTTGTCAAAACTTTTGTTGTTTGGTATATATATAGCTGTAAATACAATAATTAAACTTAAGCTCCTAGATAATCAATATCATCTTTATATTTTAACTCTTTAGATGCTAATTATTTTTATATATATTGTATATAAAATTTTATCGTTTAAAACTAATGCAAAATTGTAGGTTTTAACTTCGTAAGTTGTGCATTGTTGGCAAGAGTACCTGAGTACATGAAAGCTGCTGCTTTTTCTGATATACTTGAGCATATACATGTTTTAGATGTAAACTGAAAAAATAAGTGTGCACTCAAAAAAAAATTAGTCTCACTAGGTTTCATAACTAAAAGCTTGCTTTGAACTTCAAAAATTTTGTTCTAGTATAGATATGACACTAGAGTGGCCTTTGCACAGCTGAGACTTTTTTTGATCAGTTCACTAATAACTTGTCTTGCAAAACCTAGAAAAATGTGTTTCATCAGCCAGTGATTTGCAATGTGACTAGACAAAGGCATGATCATTCTCAGACTTGTATCATATGGAAGAAAACTAATGTAATGGGTTACAGATAAAAACTTACATTCTTCCATGGATCAATTCATAAGCCAATATATTTTGCACTTTTTTCCTACAAACAGTTTTGTATTAATTTCAGACTGAAGTTAAAACATGAATAAACTATTAATTAGATTCTGTTTTGTATTTTGTACTTTATATTATGTGGCTAAGTGGCTAGTGCAGAAGTTTAGACAGTCCTAATTTTTGCTGATTAAAAGCAGAAACGAAACAGACGTGTGCTGGTGAGGCCTGGTTTGCATCACCAGAACAGATGTGGCAGTCACCAGCAGGCAGAGCAGTTTGCACTGAAATGGCTTCAGTGACTCATGCTCGAGCTGTTGCAGACACAGCTACAACCCAGTCAGGTCGGCAGAGATGCTCTGCATCCAACAGACCCAGAAGGAACCTGCTTAACACATTTTCCCAGAGTAGTATCAGCTGCCAAACCAGCCAGGCTAAAAAAGCATAAAAAGCACATCTCAGTGTAACTTATAAACATGCACGTGTTCAGTTCTATTACCAACAAAGGGAGGTGTGGAGGAGGAGAACAAATGAGACTGGAGCAGCAGTATAACTCCAGCAGAACAACAAACCCAGATTTTTAGTATTGTCTCGGGCCTGAAACTCCCTCCAGTCCTGTTTATCACAGTGGTGCTGTGAAACATGTACAAGGTTGCAGAATTAGCACTTAAATTTGTTTAACATGAAAAGAGGCCTTTTAGAAAAATGAATTGTATTTTTTCTCCTCATAACAAGTGGGGGAATCGAATCTACTGATTCTGGAATACTGTTACAAGTTAAGATTATTGCAATCCAAATTTCCTTAAACCTGACCCTTTTTTTCCAGAAGACAATTATTTCAGAATGACAGCTTAATTACAGTTCAAAAGGACTTTGGAGGTCTTGACTTTTGAGTCCAGGCTCTTGCATAAAGCAAGTCTAACGCTGGCTGAACGTGGACCAGGCAATTCTGGGATTTGCCCCATTGGAAGCTTATTTCAAATTATTAGTCTAATTTTTCTGTCACACTCTTCTGTGAAGACTTTTGTCTCTCTTTTCTTAGTAACTTCCACTTTGGAAGGTTGCTAACTAGCTACCCCTAAGTCATCTTAATTAATGCCAGCTTTTGAGAGGAAGAAATGTTGGGGTAATTTTAAAAACAGCCAGTGAGCAGTGAGACTTATCAGGTGGTGAATTGTGTGTCATAATGAGAATTTCTATAGATTTTTGGGAAATATTTGGGATGCTGGTGTAGCAGGCACTTGAGCCAGTGAAGTAGTTCCTTTCAGACACCCCATCAGCTATTTCCATTGAGAATTTAGAAGTGAGTCCAACAGGATTCCCACAGACTGCTCACAAAAGACCTGAGGCAGTTAAAAGCTGAATTTCGATGAACAGCAAAACAGACATAATTTTTTGCAAGTAGAGCACTGGGTTAAATCTGAATTCCCAGCTCACATTTCTGATGCAGACGATGTCCCTGTAGGAATCTTCATAGACTCAGTGACATCAATCTGCGCATCCATAATTACAGTCTACATGCCATTACACGGCAGCCGTGCACAAAGCTCGTGCAGCCCTGGGAAAATCAGCTGGGCCTGCAGCAAGCTCTGTCACAGAAAATGCAAATTTCTTCACAGATAAGGCTCATCTTCCTCCAAATATAGACAAGCTCACACCCACCTTGCTAATAACAGGCTCTACGTCTCTTCAGTAAAATTACACAGAATCAAGCAGCACATCCCATGAGAATACTGGTGGTGTGCTGCACTTTGAGGTATGCACATCTGGGATCGCTGCAAAGTAAGAGACTGTGGACAAATAAAAATGATGTCTAGGGAAGGACAGAAATCAACATAAATTGAATTACTTTATCCACTTTACTTTTGCATTTTGCATGTCTAACAAAGTAATAGCTATACCAATATTTTAACCCTTACATGAATGTAACCTTTTCCTCTCAGAGAAAGTGTTCCAAATGCTGGAAAAGCATCAATTATCCATCTAACAAGAAGGTACATAAAGAAAGGGCACTGACAAGTATTTCAAAGTGAGGCACGTGAGCAAACCCTACACTGTACAGCTGGACATTTTTTATCCTTATGGGGAGAATAAATCTTTATTCAAATGATACTTTTTATGCAGATGATTAAAAATTTTGATCTAGATCAAGAACTGCCTATGTAACACCTCTAAAATGCAGTCATTTCAGAAGATGGGAAACTGAGGCAGAATGTGTTTGCACAAAATTACACCGACACCTGCAGCGATTTCTCTGTCCCGTAGTTTTTAAGGGTTCGGCAGCGTTTACCGATGCCCTGAGGGCACCGGCTGGGCCCAGTGGTTTGAGCAGCACCCCCAGGCCAGGGACCCGGCCGGCGGGCGATACCTGGAGTGGGGAGCCGCTCTCTGCGGAAGGTGCCCCCCTGCCCGGGAGCCGCCGGAGCGCCGTCGCCGCGCGGGCTGCAGAGCGGGAGCCGCAGCCGGAGGCGGGAGGCAGGCGTGAGGCACGTGCCGCACCGGAGCCGCGCCGTGGAACCATTGACGGCCCCGGACGCGGTCCCGGCCGGCGACTCCCCCGGCACGGCGGCCGAGGCGGCCCCTGCCCCGCTCCTGCCAAGCCCCCGCGCTCAGGGGCACTGCCGGCCCCGGCCCGCCCCGCGGCCGTCCCGCGGCCGGACCGAGTCCCAGCAGCGGCCGAGCGGAGGGTGGAGCGGCGGCGGAGCCGCCCCAGCGCGGCGCCTTTGTTCCGAGCGGCGGCGCGGCCGCGGCCGAGAGTCCCGCCGCGCTCATGGCGGGAGCGGCGGGAGCCCCGCGGAGCGCCCCGCGGGCGCTGCCGCCCCTGCGCGCCCGGGAGCCGGCGGGCAGCGGGGGCTCGGCGCGCTGAGCGGCGCCGTGTCCGGCGGGGGCGCTGCGCGGGGCCCGGCAGCCCCGGCGGCGGGGGCCGGGCGAGGCGGGCGCCTGCAGCCTGCGGGGGCCCTGGCCGGCGCGGCTCGGCGCTCCGCGGACCCCCGGGCGGCCTCCGGGCAGCGGCGCCCCGCTCACCGGACCCCGCCTGGCCTGGCCCCCGCCGCGGGCTGTAGCGGAGCCCTCCCGCGCCCAAAGTTTGCAAAGTCTCGTAGCTCCGCTGCCGGGGCGGCGGCGGCTAGGGCAGCGGCGGGCGGGGGCGGCGGCGGAGGAGGCGGGGGCGGAGGGGGCGGGGTGCGGGCCGGCGGCGGCGGCGGCAGCAGCATCAAAGAGCCCCGATTCTTGCCGCCCTGGGAGCCATGCGCTGCTGTCTGTAATGTCAGCGGAACAGGAGAAGGACCCCATCGCGCTGAAGAGATCCCGAGGTACGGCAAGGGCCGGGCCGGGCCCGGGGGCGGCCGCCGCTGGGGCCTGGCTCCCGTGCGGAGCGCCGGCGGAGCCGCGGGATGCGCGCACCGCCCGCGCCGCCGCTGCCCGCCGGGCTCCCCTCGCCGCGCGGCGCGGGCCGGGCCGCCCCCGCCGCGGTCCCTCCCTGCGGCTGCGGCGGGGCCGGCGCTACGGGGGCCGCTCGAAGTTTGGTCGGTGGGGCCCGGCCGGGCCCCGCGGGCTCCCGCAGCCTGCGGGCCTTGAAAAGCAGCCCCGGGGCTCGCTGTGCGCGCAGGTGTGCCCCGCGGGGGAGGGCGGCGTGCGGTCCTGTCTCTTGTGTGTCTGGGGATGTGCAGCGCATTAGTATGCAGCGAGCATACTGCTGGTGCAAGGGAATACGGCGGCAGTGCCACATGTCCGAGTTCGTGCTGATGCAGAGCCCATAAATTACACTTGAATGTTCGCTCTTCTGCCCCCAGTCCTGGCTCCTGTGCTTGAGTCTAGTTGGAATTTTTTCTTTCCTTTTTCGGGAAATGAAAAAAGAAAAAAAAATATCGAAATATTATTCTTTACTAATAGCACTGGCGTATGGCTCTGGTGAGGTTTGAGGTATGCGTTTCTTTCAAAGGAGTAGGGAGAAGGGCAGAAATGCAGGGTCTCCTCTGACTTCGGCAGTGCAGCTGACTTTAATGGCAGTGGCACATCAGCCTGCGTAGTGATTGTTGTGTCCTTATAGTCCTTAGACACAGCAATGCCTCTCTGAATGAAATAATCAAAGACAGCAGGATGGGTGACTGAGTTGGGTGAAAATCATGGCAAAATTATAAAATTTGCAATTTAGTGCTTCTCGTTTTCTTGCCTCCTGTTTTGCCCCTGGAATTCTATTGTTCTTGATGTTTTAAGCTTTTTTTTTCTGGTTGGGTAAGTGGTGAAAGGTGTGGATTCCATGGTGCACATTGTCATTGATTTACAGTTTGCTTTTCTAAAACTGCTATAGTAACAGCTGGATTGCAAACTTGAAAATGAGAGAATGAAGACACGCAGCAGTGTTACAAAGGAGACTGGGATTCATTAGCCTCCTCCACTCTCAAGCCCTGATTCTACAAATATTTAAGCATATATAGTTTCACATGCCGGAGTTATCCACCAAGTTCTACCCGATTACAGCTTAATATCAAAACTGTTTACAGTCTTAGGGCCACAGAATAGGCTCACCAAATTTGGTTGAAATTGGACTATTTTTAGTTTTCTGTCTATAATGAAAACTTTATTCAGCTGGTTAATTTTCTTGGGAAAATGTTCTTACTGAGATAAAGTACTGTTTAAAAAGACTCCAGCATCCATCCTCTAAAAACCTAGACTGACATTTGTCAGTGAATATGAAAATATTCCATACTGTATTTGCAGTATGTTAAGTATGGCATAAATTACATGCAAAGTCAAAATCCCTTAATGTGTAAACAATATACAACTTGCAATTTTCTTAATACTGAAAATGTCCATCTTAGGTACGTATGAAGTAAAAGGGAATATGAGGCTTATCTCTTCTCCTTTGCCCAACTGTGAATGGCTGAAATTAATTTTATCTGTAGTTTAATAGGGGAAGAGTTATCAGATATGTATTTATATCTTCAGATCCATGAGACAGGTGATGTCCCAGTCAAAAGGATTGTAATTTTGCCCCAAAAAAATAGTCTCAGATTATGAATAATTTTTCATTAGTGCAGTGTTCCAAAATGCTTGGTATTCCTTTAATGAAAGTCTGTGTGGTAGGTACCAAAAGTGACTTTGTGGAAAGTTTATTTTGGCTTCATGAAAATAAGCCTTATTCACTCTATTTTGGAGGTATGCTAGGACTAACATTCTGTTTCCTTTCATGTATAAATTAAATCATTATAGAACCCAAAGGGAAAATATAAATTCTTAGGGCTGAATTAAATCATTGGCCTCACACAGTGAGAACTGAAAATACAAAAGCTTTGTGCCTTTCCAGACACAGGACTCCCTTCTGTAAACCGAGGCATGTGAATGGCCTTGCTGATGAAAGTAATTCAGGTAGAAATTGATGGAACTTGTCACTGGAGTCCTAATGTTCATATGCTTATGCTTTTGAAGAATGATGTCCCAGAGAGGGAATTTATATGTAATTTTATAAAGTTTTAACTTCAGCTACTGTAAACCAGCACTTGTGTATGACTCTAAGTATTCTACTTGATCACAAATTTACTGATATCTGTGCTGCTAGTTGTTCAATCTGTTAAAAGAAATCTGGATATTTGGAGTATTTTGCTATCAGTGGTTAACGTCAATTATTTTTTAAGCATACAGGGACATGAACAGGATTGTAATTTATGCAGTTGTGAGGATTAGTGTTCACAGTGCATTCTTACATTAAATTTAGTATAAACTTATAGGAACACTGGAGAAGAAGCCAATAGGAAGTACAGTTTTGAGAAAATAGATTATAAAGAAGATGATTTATAGAGTTGAAATTTGGCATAATTCTTTATGTAAAACTTCATGCTGTAATCATTTAGTATCTACAGGTAATGTAGTGGCAATGCTGCATAGTGCACTGTGTATATGCAGGATTTTATATTCTAAATCAAGGCAAAAAGGTCTCTTTTTGAAGAATAATCCCTAGTTTCTCTGATGGTATCTTAGACCACAATATGGCTATGTGCATGAGTTTATTTTGAGAACTTGATTGTGACATCATGCCCTTGGCTTTGAAATTCAGACTTAAAATTTGATAGGTGTTGATCTGGGATATCTACGTATCTTTCTTATGTGCAATGAAAAATAATATCAGTTTTAACAGTGACAGAGCCAAAAGGAACTTATTAAAGCAGAGGCAGAACTGGATTCTTAATTGATGTAGGACTGGTAAATTCCCCAAAACCTCAAAAAAAAAAAAAAAAGGCATGGAGGAAGTGCTAGGAGTGAAAATGTGTCAGGCCTCCTTGGATCAGGGGTATTTCAAATAACTTGGATATTTTGGTCTGTGTACAGGCAATTTGGTCTGCTGCTTCCCTGTGAGAAGAGATTTTGTGTTATGTTGCTGAATATTCCTAAAGCTGGTTTACCTGTCTGCTGGGAACACTTGTCTAACAGAGCAGTGTAAAGTCATACATTGTGCTGCTTTGCATAATACTGTTGATAATTCACAGTTATCTCCAGGTTGTCTTTGGTAATGAAGACCTGTGTGTTCAGCTGGGTGCTTACATCTTGATAAAGTTTGACTCGTATTCTGAATATCAATTTTAAACAAACAACAGTAAAATGTTTAGGTTGGATTGCCTGCTTACTGTTCTGTGCTATTGCTATATATTTATATAAAAGAGCAAATAAGCTATTATCCTAATGGGCCTGGGAAAAAAAGAATTAATCTAGTTTCTTAATATAATGATGTTAATACTTTAATATGTGTTGCTCTGGTATCACCTGAAAATGCTTCTCATACTTCAGCCCAGGGTTTTCTTTACATTCCCATATTGTGGCAATTTCACTTGTGTCTGTGAAGGCAGACTGGCTGGGATAATAATGAATTTGCTAGATTTATTTTTCACTTATGATCTAACTAGGATTATAAAAATGAAAGCCACAATTTATACAAATTTGAGAGCTTGTCTCACTGCTGTGAAAGGTGGAGAATCCCACTGGGTGAAGTCTGATTGAGCAACCAGTGAAATTAACATTCCTTATATATATATTTTTTTTTTTTTTTGTGCCAGGATAGCCTTGCTCTGTTACTATGTAAGGTTTCTGCAGAGCTGGGCTGGTTCACTTATTATTGTGAGGTGTCTTTTTGTTTGATCAAGTCTTGCATTTAGATTTGATGCACTGGAGATTGGTCTAAACAACATGGCAAGTTTTCAGTGGTTTTTGTTCATGGATCTACTACTGTTTGCTTTTCCTTCATGGTGGATTGTAACAATCTGTTGTATATTGCTACATTGATGCTGTGTCTATGTGAGTTAAAAGGTGAATCTTAGACATGGCTTTTTTGCAGTTCTTCTGAAAGTTTTATGATTTATGCAAACAAGAAATACTTCTAACTGGTGATGTGGAGATGTTAAGAATCAAGGGACAGATAAAAATAAAATAAACGGGAATGTCTATTTCAATAAGAATGAGCATGAATGGGACATGAAAGTGGTAGCAGACAGAGCTATAGGAGGGATGTTAGATTTCCTCCAGATCTGTGCTCCTTTAGCACTTGGAACATAAAGGCACCAGAGTCAATTCAAATTCAGTATTTGTTACAGATATCTGAAGCTATGGTAGTTAAACTTAAAATACAGTCTGCAATAAAATTAATGTACTATTGCACTGATTGGTATCTTGTAGGTGGTGACACTGGATTGGATGGGTTAGGAGGACCAGGAGTTCAGCTTGGAAGCCCTGATAAGAAAAAGCGCAAAGCAAATACACAGGTAAATTTCCTTTGCTTCTTTTGAATTCTTAATAAACAGTGCACTCAAATGTTATTTGCTGGTATGACTATCTCTCATTGTTCAGAATATCAGTTTGTTGTCACAAATAGCAGCTACATACCAAGTATTTCAGTTTTACTTTGAAGTTGAAATCTTCCTGAGTACTAGTATTTGTGCAGAAGTTATTTTAATCCCTGTAAGTTGCCAAAGACATATAAAGAGAGGAGCGCAGTAAAACTGCAATAACATGGATTTTTACCTTAGGGATTTGATTCTGAGGCAGACTTTTTTTTAATGACTTTGTAGCCATTGGTAGAAATCTGTACAGCATGAGTAGTTGCGATGAGACGACTCCTTACCTTACTGTCATTTCAGTAGGTGTAGGTTTGTGGGCTAATGAATCAGTACTGTTTGTTATTGCTTTGACCAAGCTCTTGGCATACCCTCCAAGTGATTTTCAGGCAAAAGCTAAGTCAGGTAGAGCTCTTGCAAGGTAAATCCTTGCAATGTGACATTTCTATGCAGTTGTTCTTTCCAGAAAAGAAAGCCTCAATACAAAATATCTTAAGCAATTGGGTATAGCACTGAGTTTTCCTTTGTGTATTCTTTGAGTGAGAATATCTGTTAATTTTGTACTGCCTAGTGGGAATACCTTTATTTATGTAGGTAAAACAATCACTTAGGCCTATGTAGAGTCCATTGAGATGTGGATCTGTTTTCTTAATTTTTGTTTTGTTTTAAAGTAGTCATGCTGAAACTTGCTCTGAGAAATATTCAGTTACTTTACAAGGCTTCACACCTCTTTCTTGGTTCAGTTTTCTTGTGTTCTGGAATGGTAATAACTCTAGAGGACATGCAGACTAGCTTGTGTTCCTTCAGATCAGGTTGAAATTTGTGCTGCAGCTTTTTTTTTTTTAATAAATTTTCAGTCTTGGTTTATTAGCACTTAGGAGGAAGTGCTTTCTGTGAGCACAGTTAGTGTGAGGGTGAACCCAGCAGGTGTTCCCTACAGGCTAGTCTAGAATGAATTTCAATTGTATGACTGTACTGGTGACATTTAAACAGACTCTGGGCTCCATTAAACACTTGATTATGCTCTGTAACCAGAGCATAATCCTCATGTTTCATACCTACTGACTATGCTTTGCAGACTGCCCACAATCACTGAATGCTCTGTTTGGTATAGAAATGTACAGCATAGAATATTCCACAGTCTATAGAAAATACCAGTCTGCTGAGTCCTATATTCTAAGTGCCTTTTTTAGAGTTATAGTACCATTAGGTTTGTATATCCTCATAGAAGTGCGGTGTCTTAAAAGATGTATAATCAGTAACATGAACCCAAAATGAAATTAAGGAAATGCTTCAAATCTGCTCTTCAACATTTGGAAATACTTTGTGTATGTGTTTGTGACAGCTGGATTTCTGTATTGTTGCTTGCTTTTTGTAAAAGATTATGAAATAGAAGTCACATGTCAAGTAGTATTTTCAACTGCAAACTTTTTGAAACACTGAAACTACTATAAATCTCCACATTATCTGGAGCCCAAACTCCTCCCCTGCCTCTGTACTGAAATTTCAGACAGCCTGGCAGGGTAGAGTGGGTGAATTTTACACAACAACTGAACAGTTCTTTCAGCAGTTGTGTTGCTAATCCAGAATCTTTGTGGTTGGTCTGTCTTGCAGGGAAATCCTAAAACTAATTAAAGTGTTGTATTTAAAATATTTGTAGGGGTCATCATTTCCTCCTCCATCTGAATATGCTCCACCACCGAACCCAAGCTCTGACCACCTTGTAGCTGCAAATCCATTTGATGACAACTATAATACTGTGTCTTATAAACCACTTCCTTCAGGAAATCCATATTTTAGTAATCCTGGTTATCCTGGTTTTGGAGGCTATAACACTTTCAGAATGCCACCTCACATGCTGCCCAGAGTGTCCTCACCATATGGTGGTTCTTACTCCCTCAGAAACCAACCACATCCTCTTCCTCAAAACCCTGTTGGCATGGGTTTTAGTCGACCCCACTCTTTCAGCTTTGGTCCACATGATAATCCAGGTTTTGGGAATCAACCACCTTATGGCAGTGGTCAGATAAATCAAAATGTCAATATGTCTGCTCAGCATTTCAGACCAAATCCTGGGGAGAACTTTGGCCATTCTGGTCAGATACCTCACCCTGATGTGCCAGCTAACTTTGGTCCTGGAAACAATCCAAATTTTCCAAATTCTCAGCTAGAGTCAAACCATTCTTTTGTTCCTCCACCAAATACTTACAACCAGACAAAATCATCAGCACAAAAGCAAGACTTTAGTCAAGGTGCAAGCAAAGCATCCAGCCAGAACACTGCTGCTCATCAGCATCATCACAGGACAGAGGACGTTGTGAGTCAAGGTAACAGTGACCTGAAAAATGTTACTCGAAACAATGTGGTAAATCAGGATAACAGCCATTCTAACAGTGCTGATAACACCAATGCTGGCCACTCAAATGGGACTCAGAGCAAGGCCCGCCAGCCTCGAGGTACTGCTGAAGGATGCAACTCTGAAAAGAGCAGCAAAACAGCCCTCCATCCCAGTCGTCATGGACACTCATCCTCTGAACCCGTCTACCCGTGTGGAATTTGTACACACGAAGTCAATGATGACCAGGATGCCATCCTGTGTGAAGCCTCCTGTCAGAAATGGTTCCATCGGATCTGTACAGGCATGACAGAGTCAGCCTATGGCCTTCTCACGGCAGAGGCATCGGCGGTGTGGGGCTGTGACACTTGCATGGCTGACAAGGATGTGCAGCTAATGCGCACGAGAGAGACTGCAGGACCACCTGCACTGAACACAGAAGGCTGACAGCCTGAATGGGTGCTAGTGGAGCAAATACTTGCAATGAAAATTCGGTTACAAATTGGGTACTTCACTTTCTGCAGACAATCACTTGTGTTTGATTGCTGTCATCTTTTTCCCCCTAATCTGTATTCATTCATAAACTTCCATCTCAGATTTTGTACTCTTAGTTTTATGCGTGCAAATGTTTTACAGGATGGAATATTTTTTGTTTCTGATTAAACTGTAACTGACAATTGATCGGAAGTAGGATGAGCATTGACAATATTATTGAAGGAAAAAATGTGCCTGTATGAATAGCCCTAATTTGCTAGTGTGTATTAATGTGTTAACTAACACTAGCATTTAGTGCTTAGTTTTAATGGTACTATATTTGCAAGTACTCATGACTTTGTTTTTTTCTTTTGGCGTGAATGTCTGTTATTGATATTCTTACTAGCCTTTCTTTGAATATAGTAGACATGACATGGAGGAATGTGCAGTACTAATAGTTGTTATTTTAGGGTAAATACAGAGAATGTGCTTTTTCCTATTTTTGAAGTAAAGCATTAATGTGCTATTCAAAAATCATGAATTCATGCTTAGTAACACAATGAAACCTGCTAACTATTACACATTTCTGTTTCCTAGAAAAGGCAATAATCTCTTGACTTCTCAGCAATTACATGCTGAAGACTCTTGATAGGCCTTGCATTATTTGGAAATTGTTGTGAAATAAGATTAAATTGGAAAAAGAACACATTGAGTTTATGAAGTCCACTGCTTTAAATCTAGAGACTGCCAGAACTAGGATTGTTCATGTAACCTTAATTCATTTATCTTGAGGACATACCTTGGGATACAGTCTTTGCATCTGTTACGCTTGTGCAGTCATGCACCTCTCTCTCATTCTTTCTCACTGATGGTTCCAGTCTCCTGCCTCAGTGCTGCTTGAGAATTGTGATGAAGTAGTGCACAGAAAATCCAGCTTCTAGGGCTGTCAGCTCCAGCCTGCTCAGTCACCCTGAGCTTACACAGTCCACTTGGCATGAAGGAGGGGGCAAGGCAGTGGAGTGTGCTCTTCACAGCCTCCAAATTGCTTGATAATTTGGCTAGCAAAGTCTTAAAACTAAATTCCCACCACTGCCTCAGCCAGTCTTGCAGTGAGGGGGTGGGAAATCTAAGGTGAAGAAAGAAAATACATCTGTCATATCAGGTGAGTTTAGCTCATATCAGAACTAAGTAATCAGAAGTTTAGCTCCTTTGCTAAACCTGATAGCCTACTGACAAGTATTAATGGCACTACAGCCTTATGTGTGAAGCTAAGAAATTCTATTTTAATAAGGGTAATTTGATCTTATTCTTGATCTCAAAAATAACTCCCATTCTTTTTTGAATGTTGGGAAGCATCTAGCCTTGCACAGTTCAGCCTTAGCAGTGTGATTAAGTTGCACGTGCAACTGAAAAAGTTTCTTTTGAGAGTAATATTGTTTTGAATTAAAAGGAGGTACTGTGATAACAAATTCTGCTTGGAATATGTACCACTGTGCTGGAAATAGTCTTTAAACAGCAATTAAATCGTATGTCAAGCTTACAGGTACTAGTCATGTTCCTTAATATGATAAATTTTTCAGGTCTGTGATGATGAGTGATATAGGAGTTTATAGAGAATAGTCATCTAATAAAGAGATAGTTTTCATGGTAAGCTATGCTAATGAATGAAAGTAAGGCCTGTCTGATAGGTCACCTTGTGCTTGATTTTAAATGGGCTCTACTGTGTACATTTCTGGAAGATACTGTGCAGATCTACACAACATGTTTTATTTTAAAAGTGGAAAGTTGTATAAGTGCAGTATTACCCCATTACTCCACCATTTTTTTTGTTGGGTGTTTTTTTTTTGTTTTTGTTTTCTTTTTTTTTCCTTTAATTAGGAAAAAGAAAATAATATCTAGAGTGTGACATATTTCATATAAGAAATTGAGAATTTTACTGTATGGAGATATAAAGTGTAAGGTAGATCCAGAGCTGCTGTTTTCATCAGTAGTTGCTTTAATTTAGTACATTAACTAGACTGAATCTTGTTTTGTTAGAGGTGTGATTTTAAAACTATCAACAAAACACCAAACAAGCAACACCCTCTGTTAGAGAGATTTATTCTTCAGTAGTTCTAATGACTGACAGACTATTTGAATTTGCTTTTGGTACCTGAAGTAGCAATTAAACCAAACCTTGTTTAGATAGATTTGTTCCTCTAGGAATCAGTTTAATCACTGCAACAATTAGCACTGTGAACATAGTGGAGCTAGTTCACGCCTACAGTAATGTAAGTGAAATCAAAATTTTGCTTAGTGCCAATTCAACCAAAGGTCCAATGATGATATTGTTACCTTTCCCACTTCCGTGCCCCATGCCTCTTGTGAGAAGATTTTGGGGAATTTGTTCTCAGAAGTCTAATTAATGTTTTAACATTTGGAGCAGACATTGTATTTAAAATAGCCATGTATTTCTTACTCCTTTCCTCAACCCAACATGAAGTTAAGCAACTATTTTCTAGATTAGCTGTTGGGACATTAGTATTTAAACAGTGTTCTTAAATACCCAAAATAATCTGGAATATCATTTTATGAGGCCTTAAATTGTGTATTTATGAAACTTATTCTAACAATTTATTTTAGATTTTTTCTAAACTGGTATTATATTGAGTTTGTAACCCAGTAAATTTTCTGCATTTATTAATTTTTAAGTTCAAGGCATTAGCAAATGTCAATGATATCAAATAAAAACAAATGAACAACCAATTCCACACTTGTTAGCACACTGATCTTAGAGATAGGACTGACAAGGATCTCCAGAAGTCATCTAGCCAATATGCTTGCCCTACTGATATGCTCTTGGCATACTTGAACTCTTTATCTAGAGAGCAGTTATATTTTGGTTTTCTCTGCATGTGTTGACTAAGTAGTAGTTCAGGTATGCACAGGAGAAACAGCAATCATGTTTAATTAGTGAGGTACTAGGAAAATGTCAGCTGATTAGCATTAGAAGTTAGTTCTAGAATGATGGGTGGGAGGGAGGGTGGGAGGGTTGGCTAGAATAGGTGAGGTTTTTTTGTAATACATGAAACAATTTGTATTGAGCTCTCATGCGCTTCTTTCATTACTGGTGAATTAGACTTTACTGGTGCTGCACACCAAAAATATTGCAAAGATTTTGTAAATCTTGCAAACCTTAACATTTTTGTGGGAAATGCCTATGTCCTTTTTACATGGTTTGTGGTCATAATCAGAAATGCAGCCTTAGATTGCTCCCAAATTTCCACCCTCCTCCCAGGGTGAGATAAACAGGTATAAATTGGAATGTGCTGTCCTTAATACTTTTTTGTTAGTGACCAATTTTAAATGAGAAAACATGTAAGTGACAGTGCTGGATACAGACTAGAGAGCAGGTAGCAAAAATCCTGTTTCTTCCTGTTTTACTCATTCCTTCTACAACTTGAAACTAGCAGGTTTGTGCTTGTCTCTTCTGAAAGAAGATGGGACTGGTGCTTGCTTCCAAAGGTTCTTTAGAGGCTTAGTTATTATTTAAGATCTTCATATGGAAGAAGCTAGAGAGAAGTAATGAAGTTTGCTCTGCTTAAAAGAAAAATATAATTTTGGGGGCTGCTCAAAGAAGATTATACTTTGTGACCGCTGAAGTTTTTAATCTAAGAACCAGTTTTGTAATCACATTTTTCAGGCTTAATTTCAAGCATGTGACAATTAATGAAGCCAGTGAAACTGTATGCACACAGTCAAGAATGTTTTAAAGTGTTTGCAGTTTGGGGGCTGTGATATTTGCAAGTGAAATGCTTATATGGTTTGAGATTTTTACAAAATCAGTGGTGTTAAAATGTAGCACCCTTTTAACATTTGTCTTTATTCCAACTTAATACAGTAACACATCTGCATTAAATACATCCCTCTCATTTTATAAATAAACATTGCCTGTCAGTAAAAGTATTGGTGTAACATTTTTAAAAAAAGGAAGTCATGCTTCTTATCATGTTGTATGTGACTTAAACGACTGTTTCATATTAAAACTAATCTTTCCTTATGTACTGCTTAAATATGCCTGTTTTGGGATATCAGTTCAGTACTTTTTATACAATCTTGAATGTGTTCCACATTGGTGACATGTATTTTTGCAACAACTTTTTTGTTTTGATTTTAAATTAGAGCATGTCTGATGTAATACATGCATTAGTGCTGTGGTGTGTGACAAAGTTAATGTATGTAATTCAAATTGGAAAAGTTTCCAGACTTTGTCCAACATTAACCCTGTGGCCAGGGATTAAATTACTATGTAATACAAATTATTTCATACCATGATGTGTTTTAAGCTACTCTATGAAGTATGTGAAACATTATTGTTTATGGATTGGTAGCTGGTGAGGTATCTTGCATAGAATGAGGTATGTTAGATGGTAGCAATTCGTAATTAAAACTGAATACCTTTCAGAACCCACAGCACTGATATGCATTATCTTCTTGTTGCCATTACTTAATATGAATTTCTTAATGTTATCCACTGATAAATGGGTGGACATTTGGTAGTCAGCTCTTGTGCGTGAAAATTCTGTTCTAAGACTCTTTACTTGTTTTACAAAACATATAATTTTTTTTGTTTGCTTAGGAGGCATATAATTTTTTTGTCTATTGGATGTGATTAGATAATATGCAGGAAGATGTAGAACTGGACGTATTTTGAAGCTATTCTGCAGTTGCAGAATAACTTCAATAATAAGTTTTGGCTGAAGCTTTCTATATTGGAATAGACTCTTCCCTAAAATTGGAAACTAAGTGTACTTAGCAGAACTTTTTAAGGCAATATAACTATCCTACACTACATCTTGAGTTATGTACATTCACTTCTTTATGTGGAAGTGATAACATTTGCTTTATATAGAAGAAAAGAAAGGTTCCTTTAGTGGCCTAGTGCTGTGTGTCATCCGTTCTGGGGTAATTAGTTCTGAGTGGTGTTCAGGCCCTCAGAAGTGCTGCCTCTAGCTTGAAGTTTTCAGTGTCACCCTTTGTCTCCTGGTTTAGAAATGGCTTATCCCAGCACCACAGGGAATGACTATTTCTGCATACCATACATTATTTTCCTTTTCATGTTCAATGAAACTCTCTCAAAATAATTTTTTTATCCAACCCCACCTTTTTCCTTGGAGATTTGTGCACTGTATTTCAGGAATTGCTGTACTGGGGACATTTTGGGATTGGAGTTATGAGAGTTGTCTGTTCCTAGACACTCATCTTTTCCTCTACAGAATGGTCTAAATCTGAGCTTCCTTATAACTTAGGGAGGGAAAGCTCTTAATATATTATTTTTTTTATTTTTGTTTTTCTTTCTTGATAGTTTTTTTTTTTCTGAAATGTGAAATAATACAAAGTTGTTAGAGATTTTTTGTTCAAAACTTGGTCTTTCCTCCAAGCTTTTGTGTGTGGCCTTTAGAGCAGGCACTATGGTCTTTAGGGCCTTCTGACTTGGAATTTTTTGTTCACCTTCTCCTTTTAGAGTTAAAAGTGAGTAGAAAAAGGCAATTTACCAATCTACTGCCATCCAAACAATGCAAAATATAAGCTGATTAAGATTGTTGACATTTAATCTCTTTTTGTTAATTATGATGTGATATTTTTACCTTCTAGAAGAACATATATCAGAATCTGATTCAAGTGTTCTTGGAAAATGTATATGGTAGGCTTTGTCCAGCACTGTATGT